CACTAGGAGAAACAGAAGGGAATTAAAAGGCCAGTCCCTTTCTTTAGAAAACTTGAAATCCTGTTGGGGCAAACAAACTGTGAATCTGTGAATCAAAATCCAAAGCCACATATAAGCAAGTGTTAAAATGGATATAACGAAGTCGTGTGGGCAAAATGTAAGCAAAGGGAACAGATCATGTCATGGTCAGCTACATTTGTATACAAACTCCCAAAACAAGTCTAATCAATCTGTGATAGTTGACACTCCAACTTTAAGCCCTTCTCATCAGTGCTCTTCACAGGGGTCTGACAGATCAACAGAACCAATGTGACTTACACAGATCCAGGTTCATCAAGGGACTGTGTTGATCCTGATGCTGTCTCTTTAAGCAGGCGCCAAGAGCTCCCAACCCTCCCTCCCTCCTTTCCCATGCCCTGGGCCCGCCTCAAGGACCAGCTCCATGATGGAAATTCAGTGTGAATCTGGGAACTCATCAAAGGAAGGAGAGGAAGGGCTTTCATAGAAAGGAATGGTAGAAAGAGACCAATTGTACCCTGCACAATTCCCAGCCTGTCCCTTGAATCCAGCTGACAAAGGGAGAGATAGAAGAACCGTATACAATAGAGCTAAACAACAGGCAGGCTCATTGAGTGAGAAACTGGCCCCATCTCCCTAGGTCTCGAATCTGCACTACAGTCTTACCCTCCTCCCAGAACCCACCCCTTAACCTCACCCCATGAACAGAGGCCTCCTTGATCAGGGCCTACAGCGATTGACAAGGCTGAAATGCTAGAGTAGCCGTGACTGGTACTAGGGATGGATGGGGATCAGTGGGTGGGTTCTAGGAGTAAAACAACAATTATCAAGAGGTGCCAGAGACAAACAAAGACTTTTGCTTCTGGCCCTGTCCTGGTCAGACAATGCCCTGCCTATAATCTTGTCTTTCCTACATATCCCTTGTGATATCAGCACTTATATACCACATTCAAGTGCTGGAAAACTGTCCTGAAACCTCTAGGGCCTGGGAATCCAAGCCTGCTGGATAGTCAAATCATGTGGACAAGGTTAACTAAAAAGGAATTTCAGCCTCCTCTTTGGACACAGTTTTAGTATTACCAAGGCAACAGCATCTGGACCATCTTGTTTCCTATACTCCCCATTCCTCTTCAGACACACACACACACACACACACACACACACACACATACACACACACACACACACACAGAATGAATGATGTACACATTCCAATTTATGTGCAAGCATTGGGAAGCTGAGGTAGGACTTTGGTTGCTAAAACTTATCCTTGGCACATTGTCTCCACCTTGCCCACAAATGGGAAGATGAAAGGGAAGTAACTGGTACTAGAGACAATAGTAGCCATACCTTGTTCCTCAGGTCAGTCTCCCACCATTTCCTCCTCTCTCCTTAGTTGCAGTGTGAAGCTGATTTGGGGAACCTTATTCTCTTCCTTGGGACTCTCTTCTAGAGCCCTGCCTGGCAGACAGCTCAGAGGCCAGTGCAGAGCTGAGAGATAGCCCTCAGGGCCATTTTGCAGTAGCCAAGAGGTATTAATCAATCAGTACTTGCTGAGCTTTTGATGTAAGTTTGGCACTGAGTAGGCTCTGAAAGCAAAAAAGGAAGGAAAGGCTGCTCCATTCACCTACCATGGCTGCTGTTACCCTTCCTGATCATGTGACTGTCCTCACTTGGTCTTCTTTAGACCTGAAGTGCTGTGGGCAGGGAAGGCATTTCTACTATTGCTTTTCTACTGTTGCTTTTTTTCAAGACAAAGACCTGTACCCAGGGGATGGCTTTCAAAGCTTCAGGATGAGAGACAAAAGCAACAGGGGAAAGTGATGTTACTGGCTGGAGTTCTACCTTAATGGGTTTGGAGACTATATTTCCCCTCCCACCCACTTCCCAGGGTTGAGGTTGTTATTAGTCAGATCGCTCTGAGAGAGCAGTTCTAGTTATCAGCCTGTTAAGTAAACTTGTAGCTTTCCTAGCTCAGAGCTAAGCCTAAGGCCCCAGAAAGCAGGGTAGACCTTTCAATCTGCCTGGCTCTCCAAGGACTCCTCTGGCTCTGCACGGCCAAAGGGAGAAGTGAGGTGGGGAAGGCTGCACTTGATTATTTTAGTCAGTGTCTCCAGGAAGACTAGGTGAACATGCCGGTTGGGATCTGGTTTATTTTTGGCTGCTGGCATTCTTGGGGCATTCTTGCCATTTTGATGGGATTCAGTTAGTCTTCGGGCATTTTATAAAACTGGACCCCCACTCTGCTGCCACACTTTTTGCCTGGGCTACACCCACTTACTCCAAGCCAGTCAAAACTACACTGCTAGGCAAACAGCCACTTTTGGATGGAGGCATCACAGTCTGGTTACCAGGGTAACAGCCACTGTTCTCAGACGACAACAGGCTTGCAGACAATGTTTTGCTGTTCAATAATGGCATTGTGTTTCTGAGCAGAGAATAATCAGCTACTGCTCTTTGGCTCCTTTCTGGTTCCATCGTTATCCCAAAGACTCACTTGAAACATTCCCCTTCCAAATCAAGGCAAAAATTAATGAGTTATCATTTTCCCCATAAACTTTTTGTGCAGACACTACTGAATTAGTGTTCCTCCTTGCTTCCAATCCTAAGGGATTCTATATGGTTGAAGTAGTAAGTTCCCTGTTCCTGGAGGTTATTAAGCAGAGGCTGTATGAACATTTAACTGGTTGTTGTAAAAATGAATCCCGCATTGAAGGTTGGCTCAGACAACTTCTAAAGTTCCTTCCAATCCCAGATTCCATGATACAATGTGTTTACTGCAATTGTTGAACAGCAGTGCACTCCACATCAGAAGTAGTGGCAGTCCGATACCTTGTTAGAGATCATCTATAATTTAAAGTACTTTAGATACTCTGTTATTGAATAAATGAAAACTCAGTGGCTGCTCCATCATATGTACCTGGCCCAAGTATCGTCCACCCTTAGGACTGGGGACCCAATGTGCATCCTCAATGGTGCCCTTATCTGTGGCAATCTTCCTCTGGAGGAAACCATCCAGCCTCCATAACAGGCAACTGTCCCTGTGGTCACCTTATTTGTTCCTGTCTTTCCTCAGGGATTTCATCCCCTGAGGAAGTAATATTCAACATTCTTCTTTACTCCCTCTCTGTTTTTAATGCACAACCTATCCAATCAGCTGGGCTGACATTAGATAGGATTCCTGATGTTACCCAGGGCAGGAATTGAGTTCCTCCAACATTCACCTCTCATCTGGCCACACTTAATTGGTCATATGATTCTGACCCAAGCACACAAAGAAAACCCAACCACCCTGGAAAGAGGAAGAGTCAGCCTGTGTACACATTATTGTCTAATAGTAGTTATTATCATGATTTACAGTTGTTATAGATCTTGCCCATTTTCAAAGGACTTCCACATTATTGTTACTTGATTCTCACAACCCTGAAAGTAGACAAAGTAGTTATTGCTATCCCCATTTTCCAGATGAGGAAGTGGTGATTCAGTGACATGACCAAGGTCACATAGTTCATAAGTAGCAGATCTGGGATTTGAATCTGATTTTTCTGACACCCTGTCCGGTGCTCTCCCTCCTGTTTTACCTGAACACATGCTTCAAAGTGTTCTTTCTGTGTTTCATGATGAAACAACCTAAAGGCTGAACCAGCTCAATATAATTGCAAATTGATCTCTGTGGATGTTGTCTATGGGTGCTACATTTGATAGGGAATACATGGGACAACTGAGTCTCATTTCATTTAGTATGTGTTTAAGCTGCTATCTTTGTTTTGCCAAATGTGAACAATGTCTACAGGGCTCTGTGGAGTCCAGTAGGGACAAAGACCCTTGTGCTCTGCACACATTACTCTGAGTAGAAACTACCACCAGAGCCTCATAGCTTCTGTCTTTGTTCATGGAACCTAGAAAAGCCCTCAATACTCAGTCAAATTAGCAAGAACTCTAATGTCCCAGCAGCCTCCTTGTCACAGCAGAGAGCCCTCAGGAAAACTATGTCTGTCATATCTGCTAGAAATGGTCACTCCTATAGGTGCACACACACGCACATATGCACACACACACTCTCCTACCCATATCTGTTTCCCATGGTCAAGCCATTGAGGACTTTACTTTCATTTCCTGAGCCTGAGAATGGCCTCCTCAGCCATAGCCAAGCCTGAGTCCAGCTTGCTCGATCCCCAGCTTCCTATCGATGCCAAACACGGTTCAACGTTTGCATCAAGCAAGCAGTTATTTTGTACATCTGAGGGCTAGACAGTGCTCAGTGGTCTCCAGCAGAACCAGGAGGGCAAGCTGACCCGACTGTTACCAGGGCCTTGGAACCAACGGAAAAGAGAAGATAGAGGGAAGTGAGGGGGTAGGAGGACACATGACCACATCCATCCTGCTGGGCACTCTCTCCAGAGATCTGTGGGACTCTCCACGTGCTGCTGGAATTCTTTGGTAATAAAGCATCACGCTCAGTACAGCGGAGAAGGAGTTAATCTAACTGAATGTTAAGGAATTTAAAAAGAAAACAAGTGCCAAAACACGACTCATTTAAACCATTGGAACCCCCGAACCCCAAAGTTGGAAATTCTCTTGTGAATTCCTGTGTCCGCTTGAATCTTCAATGCTAAAGTTTTTGAAACTTACCCATGTCTTTGGGACTCTGACTCCAATTGTAGCCGGCTGGCTAGTCTGCTTTGTGGCTGACTTTGTTCAGCTGGAAGAAGGATCCTGGTCTCTCCAGCCTCCTTCTTCGGTCTTTTACTTTTTCTCTCTGAGTATCTTTGTCCTCTCCTCCTGCAATGAAAAGGGCTTTCTGATTGACAGCCAACCCCCTTAAAGGGACAGGCCTGCTTTCCTCCTCCTCTCCTCCTCCCCTTCTCCTCCCCTTTTCCCCACCTCCTCAGGGATACTCCCTTCTCTAAGGGCTCCATCTTCTCTTTCTGCATTTCACTGCCAATTGTTTCATTTTCTTTGTTTTTCCTTTTTTCCCTAAGGCTTGCCTGGAATTTCGCTTTGCTACAGAGACATCTGGAAATGTGGATTGAGGGTGGAAATAAAATGAAGATGTCTTGGAAACTTCCAACTGATCCTTGGGTCTAATTGATGTGGGATATGCAGCAGAAGCGTGAGAAGCCATGAAGTGAGAGCCCCGACAGGGGCTCTGAGTCAAAAACTTAGATGTTAGCTCCCAAAGTCCTTCCAAATCTGCCCCAGCTCCCCACATCACTCGTAGCTGCCCTTGGCCCTCTCCACTTTTCCCCTCCCGATTCCTTGGAAAATAAGCATTCCTCATCCCCCCTCCCCGCCCCGCCCAGCTCTACGAATACAATAGAGAAGAAAAAATTGTCTTTTAAGAAAATTTCCTCCAAATCCTTCTCAGTTTCAACTGCATGAAGACAAAATGCAGGCTGTCAATTCGATGAACAGATTATGATTAGGCTGGGGGAGGCTAGGATTGTAATAACTTTATAGCTATGATAATAAAGACTCAGAAGTGGGCAAGACCTATGCAAGTTCGCAGACTAGGTTAAAGAAAAGGCCAGTGTTGAAGATATGAGTGATTTCCAAGGAGGATAATCGACTTTGAGACAAGTCAAGAACACGATCTGGGAATCAGGTAGTCAGTATTCCATCCTGAAAATGAAATGTCTTCATCAGAGAGCTTAAGCCAGGCAGGCGAGAGGCAGGGAGTGGGTTAGAGTGAAGCAGCAGGTGGCAGTGAGGGTGGAGAGGAGAAATGAAATATAGTCCTTGTCACAGAGAAAGAATCGGTAAGACAAAAATGGCTAAGCAGCAAAAACAGGGAAATACTATATAAAACCTGCCTTAGCAATAAGTTATTTCTAAAGACTGTAAAGGTATTTAAATGCCCAGTGCTAGATGGGATCAGCCTAGGAAGGTTTTCTAGAACAGGTGAATCTTAAGCAGTGTCTGTCTGGGCTACTTGTCAGTCCTGTCTCCCTTCACAGCTCCCTTGACCTAGAGGCCAGCGTCCTCCCATGGATGGCCTTCAAAACAACTGGCTGGCATATAATAAGAGGGGCACCTGTTGGAAGACTCCGGAGAAGGAAGGTATGGTCTCCTGGAACTTTTCCTGTGGTTTTGCCTTGGGAGAGGAGAGAACAGGAGGGAGATGCTGAGCAGAAACTAGTACCTTCCTGTGGGAGGGAGAGAGGCAAGATTGTGTCTTACAGTTTTCTCTTTGGGCTGTGACCTTGGACACGTAACTGGCTTGGGCTCTGCTGTTAGGAAATGGGCAAGTCTTCGGCAGATGCCCCTGTGGGCCCACTGGGGGCCAAATCTTGCACAGTTTGAGGCTTGCTTAGAGTCCTATAACTCTAGATCCTTTGCTCTTATATCAACCCCAAGGAAAAAGGATCTCTGGAAATGCTGCCCCTTGCAAAATGGTATAGTAGTAGCTTTCCAGAGCAGACCAGACTCAGGCCATGTGACTGACGAAAAGGGTCCTAGGGTCCCTTGCCCTCCCCAGCCCTGCTCACCAGCCATAGACTATGCCTGCTTTGGAAGCTCAACTGTGGGATTGTGCCAGCAATAAACTTCTGGATGGTCACTGTCAGAATGGCCCTGGAGAAGGGGGAGGATCAAGGGCAAGAAATCACCAAATGTGTCTCCTCAGCTCATCAGAGGGCAGGAGTGAGCCCAAACTTTGGAAGTTCAGATTTAGAGAATGAGACAAATGATCCTTCACAGCTCGAATAGATGAGACAGCTCTGCACACAGGGGACATCACTCAGACTGAGCCCTCTCACAAAGCTTCCCCTGAGTTCTCAGCAGCAGCTCTGGGGACAGCAACGCTACTGGAAAGAAAATATGTGTTCCCAATAAACTTACAGATACCAATTTATCAACCACATTCCCCTAATACACATTTCTCTTCTCCTTTCCTCCATCTCCATTGCCTTAATATTCATTCTATCTTCTCCCCAAGTCTCAATCTCTTTCTATCGCTGTTACCTGTCTCTGTCTCTGTTTCTCTCTGTGTATCTGTCTCTCTGTTTCCTTCTTTTTCTCTCTCTCCACATTCCCTGTCTTCACCTTGTTCTTATGCTTGTTCTTGTGCCCAGGGCCAGAAAAGGGATCCAGCCAGGTGACTGTGTCTCACTCATCCCAGTGCCTTAAGGTTCCCAACTCCCTAGAATCTAGTGTATTCTCATTGCTCTCTACATCCCGACACTCTGCCTCAGTACCTCATCAGCCGACCTTTCCTGAGGGCTCCCTACAGACCTCATAAGGTATCTTCCCAGGTCCTCCAGAGGCCATTTTTATCTACATACCCCCACCTATTTCTGTGATTCTGCTTCCACTGGTTCTGCTGGGTGCCCTTGGGAAATATTCTCCAGAGTCCAGCTGGGCTCCTGGCACTGCCAAGGGATTCCTCAAGAGGGCACTGCCAGACTTCTTGGTGGCAGCCTGCTGCCTGTACTGGGTGCCTGCGGGAACAATGCAGGATTGTATGAAACTCGTAAACAGTTTGCTTCATGCAATTCTGATGGTACCTCAGAGAATCTGGTCCCCCTTGATCATAGCTTGGTTTGATTGTGCAGCTTTCTTTCAAATAACTCAAAAACACTTGGATATTACCTCCACTCTCTGCTCTATGATCCCATAGTATCAGATTATTGAAGGCCACAGAACAAGTGGGTTCTCCTTGCTCCATTGCGTAGACTGAACTCTGAAACTCAGAGAAGTCCGGTGAATTTCTCCCAGTAAAAACTAGATAAGGGCTCAAGTGCCCAATCTAGTGGCCCACTTCTCCCTGAGCACAGAGAAGAGCATAAAGGAGAAGAGAGAAGGCACAGTACCAGTGAGAGCCTGGGGTCATCTGCTATCATTTGGGCTTCTAGAGCTGAGGCTTTGCTTCTCATTCGCAGGATAATGCCTTCCCAGACCAAATTTTGGAAGGCAAGTGGCTGCGTCTTACAGCTTTCCTAGCCCTGGCATAGAAGACTGGCTGGTTGGCAGGCAGGCAGTATATTATGTCCTATGTACTTGTGGCTAGAACTTTCCACACCCAACTTCATGCCGATTGGCTAGACTATGCCTTTCTGGCCAAGAGAACCGTGGGCTGAGGGCCAGAGATGTCACATACTTTGAGCTGGCAGACAGGGGTAGAGAGTGGAGGGTGATCTTCTGCCTTTCCTGAAGGTTCAAGGAACAGTGTGAGGATGGATAGGGGCAGGCCATGAGGGGTATTTGTGATGGGGAGATGCCTGTAGCTTGGGATGGAGTAAAGAGTAGCCTGGAAGCCAAAATAATCACATGAAAAATCTCAGGTAGGCCGGGCGCGGTGGCTCACGCCTGTAATCCCAGCTCTCAGGGAGGCAGAGGCGGGAGGATAGCTTGAGCCCAGGAGTTCGAGACCTGCCTGGGTAATATAGCAAGACCCCGTTCTCCACAAAAAGGAAAAAAAAAAAAAAAAAGACAGAAAAATCTCAGGTAAAGAATGCCCGAGGAGCACCACATAGCTACTAGCAATGTGAAGAAACAAGCTGTCCACAAAACCCACCTCCACCACCATAAAAACTTGGCCAACTTTTGCAGGGTTGCCCCTACAGAGAGGGTGCTTGTTTGATGTGATTTCTGAGCAAAGTAGAAATAAAACTAGTATTATTTCTGGGGAACCAACGTTATTTGTTCAACTTGACTGATGGGATACCGAAACAACTTTCCCAATGGCACCTAGCAAGCAAAGACCAGAGCCATCTCTAGAGAATGCCTGTCTCCAGACTCTTATTGCTTGGAAGTTGCTCAGGAGATTGTTCTGCTGTGAAAGAATGTGTGAATAGAATGTTGTTTGCCCTGAGCAACAACAGCCGGGGGCCAGGGGGAGGATGGACAAGCTTCAGGCTGCTGTAGCCCAAGTTTTCAACCTTCTACACTTCTCAGGTTAAGTAGGAGGCCCCTGTTTGAAACCCAGGGCAGAGGCAAACTTCCTGTAGTTTGTGGGATCAGTGGGATTCCAAATTAGTCAGCAAAAGTCAGTGGAGATTAGAGGATATTAAGGACTTTTTGTTCTATTTCTTGGGTGTGATAATAACAAGGTGATTATGCTTTTAAAAGGGTCATTATCCACTAGATATGAATACAGAAATATTTATAGATAAAATGTTATGATACCTGGGGTTTTCTCACTCCAGAAAATTTTAGTGTAACAAGGTTAGATGAAATAACATTGGTCAAATACTGCTAATTATTAGGAGATGGGTACATGGAGGTTTATTATACTATTTCCTCTACTTTGTGCATAATTGAACAGAAAAGAGAAGCCATCAGAATTATGCTTCAGGCTGATCCACAAGGAAAAAAAAAGGGTGGGCACAGTGGCTCACACCTATGATCCCAGCACTTTGGGAGGCCAAGTCTGGTGGATTGCTTGAGTCCAGGAGTTTGAGACCAGCCTGGGAAATACAGTCAGACCCTATCTCTACAAAAAAAATTAAAAATTTGAGCTGAGCATGGTGGCACATGCCTGTGTCCCCAGCTACTTGGGAGGCTGAAGTGGGAAGATGGCTTGAGCTCAGGAGGTTGAGGTTGCAGTGAGCCATGATCCTGCCACTGCATTTCAGCCTGGGCTACAGAGAGAGGATCTGAAAAAAAAGAAAGAAAGAAAGAAAGAGAGAGAGAGACAAGGTGGGAGGGAGGAAGGGAGGGAAGCAAAAATATATATATTTCCAAGAGAAATCTCTGATGTTTCTGTAAGGATGCCTATAGCCTGCTAAGAGTGACAGCCTCTAGGGAAGGAAATTGGGGGTGTGGAGTGGGAGGGAGACTTTTCACTCCATGCCCTTTAGTATGGTTGGAATTTGTAATTTTATGCATTTCTGACTTATTCTATTGAAAATCTCATTTGAAAAGTCCTTCAGGGTGGGTTGAGTGACAGAAGTCCGCAGGCCCCTCAGGGTCTACTCATAATCCACTGACCTCAGGTGGATCATGAGAGTGACGCAGTCGCCGTGGCAGGTTAGCTAGCCTCCACTGTCCTCACACAAACATCCACTCTGCCTACCCCCTTCTGCCTGTGTCTCTGAAACACTGATCTATTGTGAAATATAGGCTGCCCCTAGCCTGAGGAGAAGACTCCTGGGAACCTCTCTGGAGGCACAGCTGGATGGGGAAGAATAGTTGCTGCTCCCTGTGGGAGGGCAAGACATGAACCCTTGAAAGCCAGAGAGGTCCTTAGCCCAAGAGGCAGCCTCCCAGGAGAACAAGCCCCCTCCTTGCCCATCTACTGACCCCACAAAGACTGAGAACTACATCTGTCTCTGAAGGTCCCGGCTTTGGCAGCTGCCCAGGCCTCCTTCTTTCAAAGTCACTGCCCAGAGCAGCCTTTTAGAGATGTGATTCCACCCGCTCCAACATCATCATCATCATGATCATCATCACCATCATATGCTGTCCCTTTCAGTGAAACCAGGCCAAGCCCTTCATCTCTGGTTGCTTGACTGGTTGAAAGGTGTCACTCTGGGCTGTGGGTGATACTTCAAATCAAAGCTGGACTCCTATGGAGCAGATTGTCTAACATTGAGGTCGGAGTACCTTCCTTGACAAACCGCCAGCAGCCAAGATGGAGAAGAAGGGGAACCTTGGTGCTCCCTGATGAGAGCTGCACATTCCCAGGTAAGCACAGATTATGTTGCTGGAGCTTACAGCAAATACCCCACACAGAGACCTGCCCCACCCCTGCTTCTTAGCTGAGGCTCGCCATCCCTGCTTCCTCTTCCTCCCTCTTGGTCAAGCCCAGGAGGAGGCCTGGGCAGCTGCTCTCCCCACCACCATGCGCCCAAGTGACAGCCTATATCCTGGCACATGGAGGGAAGAGACTTGCTGCCTCCTCTTGCCTCTAAGTAGGATGGAGCAGGCTCTTTGGACTTTGGGGAGCCCCCACCCTCCAAATATTCCTTCCTGAGGAACTCTGTTGCTACGGGTTTTCTCTGTGATAGCCAGGAGTTCATGTCAGGCACTGGGACCTGGAGCTGAGGCTGTCTGCAGGCTCTGCTGAGCTGTCGCCTACCTCCGGCCCCCATGGTAGGGAGGGGTTAATGCATCCTGCATCCTGGCCTGCCCTTCCCTAGGCTGTGCACACCCTGGCACTCAGAGAAAAATGGTTTCTTTTTTTAAGCACAATTAGTTCAAAAACCATAAAGTCTAAGAAGCGATTCCCCCTAAGGACCCTCCAAAGAGAGTTTTACATGCTCCTTAGGTTATCCTTGAAAATCCTTCAAAATTTATAAAGCACTGCAATTATTTCCACAGGCTGAATCCAGCAGTTCTTGGAAGGGTTTCAAAGGGTACAGTGGCAGCAGCTCCCTGTAGCCTCTTCTCCTTCTTCACAGCAGAAACCTTCAAAAGAAAATCCAACCCTCACTGGATGTCCTCTCCACCCTGACTCTACTGCTGCTGCCTGTCCATAGAGGGTCCACTCAGTTCTTTGCCCAAGAGACCCCTTCCAAGGAACTGGCTTTAGAGAGAGCCACTAAACCTAAGCTACAAGCCTGAAGAGCCAATAGAGCTCTCCATTATGGGGGGCAGGAGCTGTTCAGCTGTCCTCAAATGTCCTCAAAAGGGGCGACATGGAGGTGGCTAGTGGATATCGCAGTGGAGCTGGCTGTCCCAGTGAGAGCTGAGTTTGGAGAGAATGGTTATTCCTGGGCTTCCTGGAAGTAACTATCCTCTTCCACTGATAACATAACTGAGCAAGGGGGAAGTTGTTAGAATTGCAGCATGAAGAATTTTAGCTAGACATCAAGTGGGCCATCCAGATGATCAGGGCTCTCTATGGGCAGTGGAATACAGTAGTTAATAACATAGACTCCAAAGTCAGGCACAATTGGGCTTGGTATCAGCTCCACCAAATACCAGCTCTGTGACTTTGTGTAATGATTTAACTTCTCTGAGTCTTCATTTTTTCATCTCTAAAAAAGGAATAATAGCTGGGCGCAGTGGCTCACGCTTGTAATCCCAGCACTTTGGGACGCTGAGGCAGACGGGTCACCTAAGGTTGGGAGTTCGAGAATGGCCTGACCAACATGGAGAAACCCCGTCTCTACTAAAAATACAAAATTAGCCAGGCATGGTGGCATATGCCTATAATCCCAGCTACTTGGGAGGCTGAGGTGAGAGAATTGCTTGAACCTAGGAGGCGGAGGTTGTGGTGAGCCAAGATCGTGCCATTGAACTCCAGCCTGGGCAACAAGAACGAAACTCCATTCCCAAAAAAAAAAAAAAAAGAAGGAATAAAAAAATGCTGGGGATTACCAAGATTATTAAAAAGATTATACAAGGCCGAATGTGGTGGCTCATGCCTGTAATCCCAGCACTTTGGGAGGCCGAGGCGGGCAGATCAGGAGGTCAGGAGATCGAGACTATCCTAGCTAACACAGTGAAACCCTGTCTCTACTAAAAATACAAAAAATTAGCCAGTAGTGGTGGCAGGCGCCTGTAGTCCCAGCCACCCGGGAGGCGGAGCTTGCAGTGAGCCAAGATCGCACCACTGCACTCCAGCCTGGGCGACAGAGCGAGACACCGTCTCAATAAAAAAAAAAGAAGAAGAAAAAAAATTAGCCAGACATGGTGGCGCACGCCTGTAATTCCAGCTACTCAGGAGGCTGAGGCAGCAGAATCAACTGAGCCAGGAGCTCAAGGCTGCAGTAAGCTAGGATTGTGCCACTGCACTCCAGCCTGGGCGACAGAGCGAGACACCGTCTCAATAAAAAAAAAAAAAGAAGAAAAAAAATTAGCCAGACATGGTGGCGCACGCCTGTAATTCCAGCTACTCAGGAGGCTGAGGCACAAGAATCGCTTGAACCCGGAAGGCAGAGGTTGCAGTGAGCCGAGATGGTGCCACTGCGCTCCAGCCTGGATGACAGAGCGACTCTATCTCAAAAAAACAAAAAAAAAAAGATTACACAAGATACTGAACATAAAATTCTTACCATAATGCCTATGCTCAAGTATAATAACAATAATAATAATAATAATAATAATCACCAAATGAGGTGACAGAGTATCTCTGCAAATGTTTGATAAGCATTTAAAAATAGAGGCTGAACTTTAGTGATCTCTAGAACCAACACCTTTCAGATCCAGGATTCCTATACTTCCCCTGAACCTGCCTATCTTTAAAATGGAGCCAAGGATATGTGCTTGGAAGAAATGTTGAGACTTTTTGAGACACACCTAGCAGTTTCTCTGTGTATTTGTTGTCTTCCAACATCTCCAGCACCTCTGGGTATGTCCATCACTAGGGTGACCAATCACCAATTATCCCGGTTTGCCAGGAACAAAGAGATCCCAAGATGTGGGACTTTCAGTGCTAAAAATGGGTACGGCCTGAGAAAACCAGAACAAGTTGGTCAGCCTACACCAGCACAGGAACACTGCCTTAAGCATTGTGCTTGAAGCAGTTGCCTCAAGGGCTGACAACAAAAGCAGGTGTTAGGTTCCCCTTGCTGAAACCACTAAATGGGAAATCCCAAAAGCCCCCCATTCTTCTGCTCTTTGAAATATCATGCCCAGGCAAGCAGGGTTGTCAGATAAAATACATGATGCTCAACTCAATTAAATTTGACTTTCAGATAAACAATGAATAATCATTTAAGTATATCCGAAATACTGGATGGGTCATACTTATACTGAGAAATTGCTCATTGTTTGTCTGAAAGTCTAATTTAACTGAGTGCCTTGTATTTTTATTAGTGAATCCAGCAGCCCTACAGGCAAGGGCAGTCTGCCGTGGCAAGACAAGCTGGCTTTTGGGGTGTGAGCCAAGAGAATGGCTAGGGAAATCTCACACAGGAAATCATGTTCCCTATGGACACATCTTCTTCTCTGCATCTCAGCCCTCAATCTCTTCATCTTGTGGGCCTGCCCTGGGCACCCCAGTCATGCTTTGTTCTAGGGAGGATCATTTGGGGCAAGGCAAGATGAGATGGGTCCTGAAGCAGGCTACATAATCCATAATGGTTAGGAGTTTAGGCTTTGTAGCCAGCCAAATTGGGTTCATATCCCCCCTCAGCCTGGGACATAGCACAGTAAATAGCAATTCCCTGTTAATACTTAGAGGCTGCCAGGCATAGTGGCTCACACCTGTAATCCCAACACTTTGGGAAGCCTAAGGGAGGAGGATCACTTGAGGCCAGGAGTTCAAGACCAACCTGGGCAACATAGTGAAACCCCTGTCTCTACAAAAAATTTAAAGATTAGCTGAGTGTCGTGGTGTGTGCCTGTAGTCCCAGCTACTCAGAAGCTGATATGGGAGGATCACTTGAGCCCGAGTGGTCGAGGTTGCAGTGAGCCCTCATTCCACCACTGCACTCCAGCCTGGGCAAAAAAGTGAGACCCTCTCTCAAAAAACTCTCAAAAAAAAAAAAAAAAATTACTTAGTTGCTGACATTTGTCTTTTCTTTTCTCTTCTTATCCTGTGTCTAGCACTTTGCCAGACATCGAGGGAAATATAAAGAAATGGGATAGTTTCCGGATGCAACCTTTGTTCTGAGAGAGCTTACAGCCTCCTCTGGAAGGAATACTACAGACGTTAACAAAATGAAGATTCAAACACAACTAACATTGAGCACCTACTCTGTGCTTATCCTGACCTAAGTGCACAAGCAAGCCAAATGTCAGCAGAGTGTCATCCTGTCCATCCAGTTCAAATATAATTGGTTCAAGCTCCATCTTATCCCTTACCAGGGAAGTCCAGTGTCTTCCTCAAGATTTCTGAGAATTCTGAGAGGGCTCAGAATTCCATGTGGTTCTGAATTTGGGCTCCTAAGGAACTTCTGATTTCGGTTCATCTTTTACGGCCACTACCGTCCGATTTCTTTTTCTTTCCCTTCTTTCTTTCTTTTTTTTTTTTTTGAATCGAAGTCTCTCTCTGTCACCCAGGCTGGAGTACAGTGGTGCAATCTCGACTCACTGCAGCCTCCACCTCCCGGGTTCAGTTCAAGTGATTCTTGTGCCTCTGCCTCCCAAATAGCTGGGACCACGGGCGCACCCATCACTCCCGGCTAATTTTTGTATTTTTAGTAGAAGACGGGGTTTCACCATGTTGGCCAGGCTGGTATTAAACTCCTTATTTCAAGTGATCTGCCCTCCTCAGCCTCCCAAAGTGCCGGGATTACAGGCTTGAGCCACCGCGCCCGGCCTTATTTCCTGATTTCTATTAAAAAACAAAAACAAAACAAAACAAAACAAAAACAGGCTGGACGTGGTGGCTCATGCCTATAATCTCAGCACTTCAGGAGGCCAAGACAGAAGGATCTCTTGAGTCTAGGAGTTCGAGATCATCCTGGGCAACACAGTGAGGCTCCCGTCTCTATAAAAAATGAAAAATTAGCTGGGCATAGTGACATGCACCTCTGGTCCCAGCTACTTGGGAGGCTAAGGCAGGAGGATTGCTTGAGCCCAGGAGTTCAAGGTTACAGTGAGCTATGATCGCACTCCAGCCCGGGGAACAGAATAAGATGCTCATCTCTAAAATAGATAAATAAGTTTTTAAAAGACCTTAGACCTAAGTTAGCTGTAAATAATCTTTGGATGTCTGGGCACTTTCAAAAAGAAAAAAAAAATGGCTACATAGGTTTATGGGTTTTTTTAATGACTATCAACTAACAAAAAATACAAAAGCCTCTGGATAATATTTTGTATATATTTTGCCTCCTAAAGCTGTAAGATTATATTAACTCATTGTGGAGGAAAAAAAGCCAAATAATTTTTACTTTTCTGTTCTCTAGTTTTCTCTTGTGTCTGAAAAAAAGTTGGTTATTTTAATTAAAAAATAATAAAAATGGTTATAGTATGTATAACAACTACAGAGAAATATAAATATGTATGTAAGATAATGACTATTATTTTTATTCACCTTATTAAGAAAGTTGTTATAGTTTATTCACATGATTAGTATGATATATATTATTTTATTTAACATACCGATAAGGTAATTCTGTTTAAAGCTAGTTAAAAGCTTTAGATGATAACCTCTTTTTATATTTATATATCTACGTATGCATAAATGCATACATAAAGATATATTAATAAATTTTTTACTACAAATTGTTATATTAATAATGTGCCAAAGGAGTAAAATTAGAATTTGAGACTTTTTTATGTGAAATTGTTACCAAACCGAACTTAAGTCCACCTGCCCCGTGCAGTAAGTCCAAACACTGACACTGGGATTGCATGGAAAGAGAGGCCTTTATTACAGGGCGCCAAGCAAGGAGAATTGGGAAGCTAATGCTTAAGACCGGAACTCCAGGATAGCTTACAGGTAAGGATTTTTTTTTTTTTTTTTTTTTTTTTGAGACGGAGTCTCGCGCTGTGTCACCCAGGCTGGAGTGCAGTGGCGCGATCTCGGCTCACTGCAAGCTCCGCCTCCCAGGTTCACGCCATTCTCCTGCCTCAGCCTCCGAGTAGCTGGGACTACAGGCGCCCGCCACCACGCCCGGCTAGTTTTTTGTATTTTTAATAGAGACGGGGTTTCACTAGCCAGGATGGTCTCGATCTCCTGACCTCGTGATCCACCCGCCTCGGCCTCCCAAAGTGCTGGGATTACAGGCTTGAGCCACCGCGCCTGGCCACAGGTAAGGATTTTTAAAGGCGGGGTGGCAGAGGTTACAGGCAAAGTCATAAATCAATACATAAAGGCTACATATTGGTCTGACCTTAAACACAAGACATATTGGTCTGACCTTAAACACAAGACACCTCGAAGCAGGGGCCCACAGATGGATTCAAAGATGTTCTGATTTGCAATTGGTCAAGGAGATGAAGCCTTGTCTAAAAATGTGGTGTCAGCCAGCCTGGGCAACATAGTGAGACTACCTCTACAAAAAAATTTTTAAAATTAGCTGGGCATGGTGGTGCATGCCTGTCGTCAAAGCCACTCGGGAGGCTGAGGTGGGAGGATCACTTGAGTCTTGGAGGTCGAGGCTACAGTGAGCCATGATCGTGCCACAGCACTCCAGCCTGGGCCACAGAGTGAAACCTTGTTTTAAAAAAATGGGGGTCGGGGGAATCAGCAGAAAAGAATATTAGCTCTGGCTTTTGAGTGTGACCTCCTCCAGGCCCCTCAGGAAGAAATGTAAAACAAAGAACAACAGCAGAATTCAGTTCTCAGTTCCTATCTATCTGAGGTCTGCGTGTCAGTGGATCCGTTTGGTGGGGGTCCAAGTTTCTGAAAAACAACTCAGGGACATATGTTAAGATGTTATCTTTAGTTTCTATAGGGGAATCAAACATCCTGTGATTCCAACTTCCTTGGCTATTGTTTTAAGCTACTATTATATTACCTTCCTGTTTATTAAGTTGCTTATTTACTAGCTAAGTGCCTGGAATTTCCCTCAAAGGAACCCAAGACTTTTGTTTATTTCTATGCTTGGGGGCCTGCAGGCCCCTAAGAGGGATCCCTGCTCCATCTCAGAATGACTAAATTATTTTATGCCCAGACTAGTAGAGGTTTCTTTTTGTCACCAAACTATTGTTAACTCTCAGAGCTTTGCAAAATATTCTAAAGACATTTATAAGAGTCTTTATTTTTAAACAAAAAGCTAATTTTCCAATAGGCACTGCTTATTGCTTAGTGATTTTACAATGTTGAATACAAATATTTCTCACTTTAGATGTTTATGACTTATACCTTGTCCTTTCTAACAACTATTAATTTTGCCTTTCTTAAATGCAAAATAATACAACTATTAAGATGTCTTTTATGCCTAAACTATATTTGGGTTTCCTAAAATAGCCATGAGATGACACAAAAATTTGCCCTTTCACCCTATTAAAGAAAGGGCAATAAGAATAATTAGACGTCTGTAAATTTTTCCAACTTTTTTTTTTTTTTGAGAGCGGATCCCTTCTCTGTCGCCGAGGCTGGAGTGCAGGTGGCTGGATCTCAGCTCACTGCAAGCTCCGCCTCCCAGGTTTACACCATTCTCCTGCCTCAGCCTCCCGAGTAGCTGGACTACAGGCGCCTGCCAACCTCGCCTGGCTAGTTTTTTGTATTTTTTTTTTGAAGTAGAGAAGGGTCACCGTGTTAGCCAGGATGGTCTCGATCTCCTGACCTCGTGATTCCGCCGTCTTGGCCTCCCCAAGAGTGCTAGGATTACAGGCTTGAGCCACGCCGCGCCTGGGCCCAACTTTTAATTAAGTCAAACTCTTATGAAAACTTTGTCTACCAAATTTAGTATAAAATAACCTGACAAATTAAAAAATAGAATTTATCGTCTGGAGATAAGTAAAAGATGGAAATATAAATGTCTTTCAATGATTAAAGTACTTTTCAAGGTTAAAAAAACATAATCATATTTAAGCAACAATAACTGGTATTAAGTGACCTGTCTACCTAAAAGATTTTTTTCCAAGATTTCATGATTGCACAAGCCCGTTTCCCTTTGTTTTGTTCATAAAGTTCTGGGTAGGTTATAAGGGTACTAACTGTACTCTCATGAGAATTAGTCAGAGTATATTGCTTGATTTCCAGCTTTCATTAGATCCATTAAGCTCAGGCAGTAGGATTTTGGTCTAAAAGCGTTGTAACAGTATAGCAAAAACATGTAAAAACTTGTAGCTTAGTTTCTAGGAGCTCCACTAAATGTAACGGTTACCAGCATGTGTGCAAGACTCTTCTGATTGACCAAAACCGCTGCTGCAGACACCTTTTTCAGCACTGTTGCCTAACCTCCGCTAGGAAGGATATTAATTGTTTCCGTGCACGACACTGTCTGGTGGGTTGTGCACTCTTAAAGTCAGCCGCATGTGCTCTGTCTTCACTTGACTTGGACACGAAGAAACAATCGTACATTGCTTATTTCTGCTTAGAGAAGTTCCCCCAAT